ACTAGAAAAATGGAATTGGTGTTTATAGAGATGGGGAGAAGCAGAGTTTGGAAGGAAGTCAAAAGTCTGGTTTTGGACATGGTACATTTGAAATCTGAGTAGACCTCCAAGTGGAGATGTTAAGTAGGTAATTGGTGACAAGAATCTGGAGGTCAGGAAGCCAGGTTAGGTATACAGTGAGACTCTGGTGGAACCTGAGGGCTCAATTCATTCCATGGGCCTCACCCTATTCTAAACAAATGCTTAAAAAGTCTGCGTCAGCCCTAGAATCCACTGAGTGTCTGAGGAATGCTATGGGCCAACCTGGACCCATGGATAGAATAGCTCTAGTCAGTTCCCTGGGTCCAACTAACAATTTATCATTAACCAGTGTTTGTAAGTGCCAACTCTATGGCAGGCATTGTGCCAAATGTTGGGTATCCAGTGGGGAACAAGACATGCTCCTTGTCTTCATAGAATGTTTAGTCTTGGGTGGTGGTGGTGGGGAGATGGAACAAGAGAATGGCGATTTTGGTACGATGCAACGGGGGTCAGTGTAGGGTTCTGTCGGGCATAAAGGAGAGGCACCTAATCCAATCCTGGAGGACAGGAAAAGTACAATCTAAGCTGACTCCTGAAGAATGAGTGGGGCCATGGCCAGGTGGTTCAGTTTTTTGGAGTGTTGTCCCATAAACCAAACGGGCACAAGTTTGATCCCTGGTCAGGGCATACACCTAGGCTGTGGGTTCGATCCCCAGTTGGGACACACATGGGAGGCAACCAACTGATGTTTCTTTCTTACATTGATGTTTGTGTTTGTTTGTTCTCTCTCCCTCTCCCTCTCTAAAATCAATAAACATATCCTTGGGTGAGGATTTAAAAAAAGAAAAGAATGAGTAGAGGTAGCCACCTAAAGAGGTGAGAGAGGGGTGGAGAGTGTTCTAGGCAGAGAAAACAGCATGTATCAAGCAAAGCAAAAGTCTGCAGGCAGAGGACAAAAGTTCAGGTTAGCATGTCTGGAGTGCAGAGTGAGTGAATGGGGTAGAGACAGAGAGGGGAAAGTAGTGGCTGGAGAAGTGGTTAGGAGCCACACGATGAAGGATACTAACGAGCACTGCTGGGACATCGTTATAGCAAAAGCTACAGGAAGCATTTGCATTCTAAGCAGAGGAAAGGGGTTAGTGCATAGAGTGGGTTGGAGGGATGCAAACCTGGAAGCAGTTTCATCAGGGGGTTGGGGATAGTGGCAATTTCACACTCCTACCTCATCTATAAGTGTACCCATATATTATGAGACAGGGCCTGGGTCTGCTGTGCTTAACCTCAAGCTAAGGGGAGATGCTCTCCAAGAAGCTAATTACTTTGATGGAAGAAAGGCACAAGATGCCTGCATTTTAATAGGGAGGAAGCAAGGTGAATCACAGTTCTAGGATGGGCCAGCTTCCAGGAAGGGTAAGCTGTAGTTATGAGGGGTTGAGGAGCCAAGATTGGAAACCAAGTTACAATCTTTCTATGTACATCTTGCTTTTTGTAATATGTATGCTGTGCAGTGTGTGTTTAGGACAGAGCCTAGCTTCTGTGTGAAGGTGCTGAGTGATGGGTGTGTGTTTTGGAATGGATGTTTGCGGTGGGAAGTTCTCCGCGAGTCTGTGTTAATGTGCACAGCTCTGGAATGCATGCCGTGCAAGTACATACCTGCAGCAAAAAGGGAGAGACGTGCACCCTGTGCTGTAAGAGAACACATGCCTTTTGATGGCCTGCATCACAAGGCGCAGCCTCAGACGGAACAAGCTGTGGGTTCTGCTCAAATCTAGGGACTCTTCTGGTTCGCTTTGCCCACAGCAGGCCCTCACATATTTGTCAAGTGGATGACTGGTTCACTTTTATTAAAATTCAATTGTTTTTGGAAATGTATAGGTTTGGTTACAAGTTTGAACAAGAGGTTCTAAGGAAAACAAGCTCACAGTCAGGCACCAACCTCCACTTACAAAGCTAGCCATTTAAATCTGGTCATGAGGTGTGTAGCTATCTTGAGACCTAGCTTGTGTAAAAAACTTTTGCTATTTCATTTTATTCGGCAAACATTTACTGAACACCTCCGCCACATAGGCAATACTGGACTGTTGCTGGTGGAACTCATTGCCCTCTCTTCTGAGCCACCTGCATCTGGGTGTTGCAATTAAGCTTAATTACATACTATCTTGTATTGTTCCTTAATTGTTGCACATGCATTAATCCATTTCCAACTAGGTTGTATGTTCCTTGGGGGCAAAGACTGTATCATAAGCTTCAGGAGAGGTGAGGGACTTAGCAGAAAATATGAGAACACTTCCTTAGCGGGAAGTGAGTGAACACCCACCGTCTGAGGAAGAAGGAAAACAAGACCATAAAGCTATTTATGACCTTTAGCGATACATAATATGTAAGATACCTTAAGAGAAAGGGAGCACGTGTTGTTGGTTGACAAAAATATTCCTTTAATGATAAAATGTAAAATTCAAGTCTGCATCTTCACATGAAGGGGGGGATTTGTGTTTTAATATAATTGTTGTGATCCTCCGAATGCCTTCATTCTTGATGTTGTTTTCAGTGCATAAAAGAATGTTTCCTTGAGGAAGAGAGTTAAAGGGCAGAATTTTCCTATAGCTGGATTTCTCAACAGTGGCATGATTGACATTTTAGACCAGGTCATTCTTTGCAGTGTGTGTGTGTGTGGGGGGGGGCGCTGGGGGGCGGCACTGTCTTGGGCATTGCAGGATCTTAAGTACCATTGTGAGCCTATATTTATTTGATGCTAGTAGCAACCCCCACTTTTGTAACAATCAAAACTGTCTTCTTTTTTGAGAAAGGTTCCTCAAAAAATTAAAAATAGAACTACCTGATGACCCAGCAATTCCACTTCTGGTTATTTATCCAAAGAAATTCAAGAAGATATATGCACCCCTATATTCATTGCAGCATTATTTGCAATACCCAAGATATGGAAGCAACCCTAGTGCCCATCAATAGACAAGTGGATAAAGAAGATGTTGTACATATATACCATGGAAAGTTACTCCGTCATTCAGCCATAAAAAAGAATGAAATCTTGCCATTTGTGACAACATAGATGGACCTACAGGGTATTATGCTGTGTGAGATAAGTCAGAAGAAGACAAAACCATATGATTTTACTTACATGTGGGATCTAAAGAACAAAATAAACAAACAAAACAGAAACAGATGCAGAGATATACAGAGGGCTGCCAGAGGGGAGGGGTGTTGGGGAGCTGGATGAAAAAGGTGGAGGGATTAATGAGGGCAAATCGGTAGTTACAAAATAGTGGAAGGGGTGTAAAGGACAGTGTAAAGAATATAATCAATAATGTAATAACTATGCATGGTGCTAAGTACTACAATTATGGGGGATCACTTCATAAATCATGCAATTCTCTAACCACTATACAGTACACCTGAAACTTTTAAAAAATAATATTGAATATCAAACATAATTAAAAAATGGATATGAGGCAAATTTGACATATACAAATAAAAATATTTCAAAAATATTGAAAAAAAAATGTCTCCACGAATTGCCCTCAGTTGAGAACCAGTATCCTATAGGAATTTTGGTTCTGTTTGGATATTTTTCTTATTTAACGAAATGGTGGGAAATAGGGGAAGGGAAATGATATTTATTACTTCTTTGTTCTGAGCAAGGAGCTCTGCCTCCTTTCTTTTTTAAAAAAATTTCATCCTACAGATTAAGAAGCTGAGGTTCAGGGAGATAAAAGAACCTGCTGAGGCTCATAAAGCTTGTTCAGCAGTTTAATCAGGATCGCATGCCAGGCTTGTCAGACGGGCAAAGCCTTTAGGCCTTTCCAGCACACTCCCCACCGCCCCTCTGCAAGAAAAACAGCATACCTCACATTGGAGGCGAACTGCGCATTCAACAAGTATGCCCCCAAACATTTTAAAACTTTTTGGTGGAGGCAACTATTACTCTCCTAGTCATTAACAGCTATTTAAATATGAATATACAGGCCCACACATATAGACACTGGGGCCCTTCATTACCGTTGTGCCTCTGGTCTTATCTCTGAAAAACACAGAGCAACACAATGGAACAGCTTCAATTCTCCTTGTTACAAATTATACAAAAGCCAGAGCCTAACGGTGCCAAAAGCAACTGGTCTTGTTTACACAGGGCTGAAAGCTAATAGTTAACTTTCTCCCAGTCCAGAAAAAGTAAATAACGCCTCACTTTACAACTACAACGAGTAAAATCGAGTGAAATAATATAAAACGGAGAACACATTAAATCAAAAGAAAGAAGTGGAAAACTTGGTTCTAATGCTCCCTCTTTCTCCAGTCTTCCCTCGCGCCCCGGGCGGGTCCTGGCTGCGAAGCCTGGGTCCCTATCGCCCCCGCCGAGCCGTGTTGCTGGTGCCTGGGGTTTTCTGGCTTCCTTTCCCGCCCTGTGGCAGCGCGGCCTCTCTCGGAGAAGCCTGTCCCAGAGCCAGGCCTGAAAAACAACTGCAAGAAACTTTGGCTCAGTTGGCGGTTCAGTGCAAAAAGACTCTCAAGTTTGATTCGGGGCTGCAGCCACGGGTTCCGATTTTGGGGTGGGGCTGGGGGGTGGGTCATAACGCGGTCAGATTCAAGGGCGCATGTGCTTGAGGAGTCGCTCGGTAACTTATTGAGCGCCCACTGTCTACAAGCGGCCCGGGGGTGTGCATGCAGGCGTGTGGTTGGTGTGCTGGAAGGGCACTGGCGCGCGTGGCCCGCGAGAGGCGCGCAGGCAGCGGGTGCGCGCGGAGCCTGGGGCTGGGGGGCGGGGAAAGGGGGTGGGGGGCAGTGGGAGGGCGGCGGGGGGGTGTGTCCCAGAGTCTAGCTCTTTCACTCGCTGGTTGGCGCGCTCCTCCGCTCCCTTCCTGGGCGGGAATCCGGGCCGGGTTGTGGCCGCGGCCGCGTACGTGAGCGCAGTGTCCCGGAGAGGGAGGGCAGGCCGGCCAGGTGGGCGCGAACGGAGCCTCGGAGGGAGGGCTGCCGGAGCGGAGCCGGGTGGTGGGCCGCGCCGGGTGGGTGGGCAGGGGCGGCGGCAGCTGCAGCCCAGACCCGAGCTGAGCTGTCCAAGCCGGAGCTGTCCGGCCCGCGCTGCTGCTGGTGGCGGGGCGAGGTGAGCTGCGCGGGGACCTCGCGTCTCTGCAGCCCGGGGACGGGGGCGGCCCGGAACTTCCCACGCTCCGCACGCCTGCGGGGGCCGGGTCGGCGGCCTGAGGGCCCTGGAGGCGGGCGCGCGGGGGCAATGGCGAGTCGGGGCGCGGGGACGCTGCGGCAGTGCCCGCGCTGGCTGGGTGGGGGTGGCTGTCCGCTTTCCCATGTAACGCCTTGTTTATCTCGCTCGCCGCGGGCGCTGGCCAAGGCACCCCCTCCCCAACTTTGAACGGTTGTCCAGAGTCGTCTCTCCGACGGAGATTGACCTGCCCCCTCGCTGACCCTTTCCGGCTGGGCCGCCAGCCCAGCCCTCTCGGCGCCCCGCGCGTTCCTGCCCACTCTACCGAGCGAGCGAGTGCCGGGCTCCGGGACGCGCGGCGCGACACACCCTCCACCGCGGGGGCTGGCCCCCACCCTTTCTGTCCTCTTCTGTCCACCCCCACTTCCGCGCCGCTTAACCCTGCCTCTCCCCACTGGTGGCCCCTGGCCCTCCTGGGAGCTGGCACTGTGGGCATGCGGGGTGCCTCGTGGGGGCCTGGATGGGGAGTTTGTCATGTGCAAACAATTTCAAAGGTAGTATTTCCACCTCCTGCCTTGGAGTTTAGGGCGCAGCACCTTCACTTTAGGATTGACGGAGAAATCTTAAGAAGCCCACCTGCCAGGTAGTGAGGGGGTGCTGCTGCCTGCTTGATTTCAGGCAGCTGTGGCCAATTCCTGGGGGCTTTGGAGCACTTCCATCAGGCAGACGCGGTGCCAGGCTGCCAGGGGCAATGGATACCTATAGGCCACCACTATGTTCTTTACACCCCTGTTTCCAGATAAGTGTACCTGGTGTAGTTTGCCTGAAAGTGAGTGATCAACGGATATTGAAGGTCTTTTTTTGACACTCTCCTAAGGTGTGTTGTAAACAGAAGTTTGGGGCTCAAGGAACTTGAAACACAAGGAAACATAGCAATTCAGGTAAACTGCACAGGTACTTTTGGGGGGGCTGCTGCGTTCTCAGCCCCATGCCAGGCTCTCTAGGAGATGATAGGAGGCACAGGAATCTGAGGCCTTAGAAAGCCTGTTGACCAGGTGGAAGTGATTTTGGAGCTCAAGTTCAAATTAATGTGTTATGGCTGCCTAAATTACTGTAAAAGCTGGGGGGCAGAGGGAATATCAAAGGAAAGGTTAGAGCTGGGGAATGGATTTACAGTACTAAGTTCTGAAATAAGTTGTGCACTGGAGAATAACTTGCTGGCAAAGGCCCAAAGGCAGGAGAGGAAGAAGTAACAGGTGCGAGAGGTTGCAAGGGGACTACCAGAGGAGAAGAGGTTCAAACAGGGATCTCAGTGAGGGAGGATATAAAAGATACATGAGATGATGCCCTCTAGGGTTTATAGTCTCATGGAGGAGATGGGAAGACTGGGCAGGTGAAGGAAAACTCAAGATAGGGCACAATTAACTTAAAACGCAGCAACCAGAATAGCTGCTCTTGGAGTTCAGAGAAGGGAGCATGGGCAGAAGTCACCAGGACTATATTCCTGGAGGATGAGACCCTCGACCTGGGCCGTAAGGTGCGAATGAACGTGGCTTTCCCAAGACAAGGAGCTGGCCTTGGCCAGACCAGGGAATGTGTCCTGAACAGTGGTAGATAAAGATGGAGAGGAACAAGGGTGGAGATTGCGAAAGCCAGACTGGGTCCTAGAAAGCCAGACTGGGGAATTGCACTTTACCCTGTGCGTACTGGGGAGACATGAAAGTTTGTGAGGCAGGGAGTGACATAATGAAAGGGTGTTTGGAAAGGCTTTAAAACGTAATGCTAGGAGACAACTCAGTTAGCCAGTTACAGTTGTGGGGTGCCCAAGGTTTGGACTGGGATAACTGGAAATGGAAAAGAGGGTGAGTTTTAGAAACATTACTGTAGCAATAATCTGTTGACAGGGGCAGGGTGAAGGAAAGAGATGAATGGAAATTAATTCCTTGTGGAAATTGATTACACGCCAGGGTCTTGGAGCTGCTATAGTTGGTAACTCAAGAAATAGGAAATGTGTGTTTTGGAGAGAAGTAATTGACACTCAGGCTGCAGAGAAGTTTTCTATTTGCCAAGATAATACAAACAGAGCCATCCTGCAAGAAACTGTGACTCTGAGACTGAGGGGAAACCAGGCTGTGTAGTGTGGGGAAGGCTGCCAAAGCTGGGAGGAGGAAGGCGCTCCCGAGAGAAATGGGGTGTCTTCTGGGTCATAGGGAGGCAGGAGAAGATGGGATGCTAGTGAGGGTCCGAATTGCCTTTCGGGTGACATCACCTGGACCTCAGCCTGCACCTGGCACAACAACTCTGGGAAACTGAGGCTTCAAGGAGAATAGGCCACTTATTCTTCTAACCATGAGGGTGATTGAAGGGGCGTAGAATGGAATTTGGTAAAAACATAAATTGTTGGGTTTTGAAATGAGCTGATTTAAAAACCTCTGGGTTTGCTCTCTGCTGAGAGCTTCAGGCTAGTGTTGGTGTCCCATTCATGGGTGGGTGGGTAGGTGGGAGAGTAAGATCATCCAAAGGGGCAAGGTGGAAATTATGGGTTTAGGGATATTGCCTTTCCCAGGGCCAGGTCAGTCCCAGCCCGAACCATTGCCAGTTCCCAGGAAGCCAGCAACCTGCTGGCAGAGCTTTTTCAGAGCTTCTTCCGGAGCTCTGAATTCTGCCTGCTTGTTGCAAGGGAGACTTAGGGTGATTTGCTGAACAAATTCCCCAAACCTCCACTTGCAACATTTGAGGGCTGGTGAATTTGAAGGGTGATTACGGAAAGTTGCAGAATGAGTAGAGAATGTAATTGCAGTTCTTCAGCCCCTTACTCTGAGATGCAGGATGGGCGAACCAGCAGGGGAAGCTGACTTGCACAGGGAGAGGTGTCCCTCAGATGTTTTTTCTTTATAGGGAATATGTGATGGTCAAAAAAGAAATTCCACGGAGCAGATGTTGAGCTAATTTACTCTTTATAGAGCAGTGTTTTCTGCCCTGCTTTGACCATGACCTACATTAAGAACTAAGATTTATATCACGGCCTAGTATACTCAGTCATGTATGTAAAAATCTAATTTAAGGTCATGAAGTAGTACTTTCCTTGGCTTCATTGCAGTCTCCTCTGATACTTTTATTTTCTATTCTATTACTTTTTATTTAAACATGCCTACTGTCTCCTAATAAATTGGTTTAACCACTCTGTAATGGATCCTAACCCACTGTTTGAAAAACACCGTTATAGAGAATTTTCAAATCTTGTAAGTATTTATTAAGCTGCTCACATGCAGAGCTATGCTTACTGGTGCTGTACGTGGAAGGAAGCACAGGGAAGAGACTGGAAATTGACAGGCTCATTGGGGAGTTAAAATATAGCTGATTATGGAGCAAGGCAAAGTGATCGAATGCCAAAATGGAAAATAAGCACCCGCAGACTTCAGAGGAAGGGTGAGCAGCCTCTGCCGGAGTGGCTTAGAAACACCGTTTTGGAATAGGGAAGGAGGTCTGGGAGGAACCTGTGCCTGGTGCTGCCCAGGTGGGAAGTGTAGCATGGGCAAGGCTTGGAGTTGGGGATGTCCACGCTGTGTCTAGAGCGATGAACGGAGAGTGGGGGGAAATCAGCCTGGTCAGGTGGGTCAGGGTTAAAATGTAGCATAGCGGTTGTAAATAGGTGGCTCGAATGTGTTCAGCCTTCAGACGTGTTACAGTTTGGACTTGGGAGCAATCCAGAAGAACCTCTGGATTTGGGTTGTCTTAAAGAATCAGGTCAGGCAGGCTTCCAGAGCTGAGTGGTGGCTGCTCCCTGGGCATGGGAGTCAGTTGTCATAGACCTCGTGCTCTCTGTTGCCTCAATCCAATCGCTTTACCCTCCCTGCTTAGCCCAGCAGATCTTTGGGTTTGCGACCTGAGTCTTCAAGAGGAGCCTCGCATTATGGGACCTCAGACACTTGTGTGCACATGATTTGTTTCAGGCAAGTCAACAGCCCTTTCTGAGTTGCTGTTGGCTGAGACTTTGCAATACTTTTGGATCGATTGGAATGGCACTAATTGGAGGACTTTGAGACATTCTCTGTAGTGAGGCACATTTCTGGGGACCTCAAGATCTCCCAAGCCTTCCCGCGTTCCACTACTGGCTGCCCCGGTTGGATCGCGGCTCCTGGCAGGTATAAGAACGATGTCGAGGTCATAACTTGGTGAGGTGGGAGTCATGACTGCCGAGTGCCGTCCAACATTAGACTCTAAGGAGCGTTGGTTCTGTGAGTCAGTGATAAAGGAATAGCCTGGAGAGGCGCGGTGCCATTTCTTCTCTTACATCCTTAACCCTAGGGTGGCCCCGGGGTAGGCCTCCAGGACCCAGAGAATCGCAATGTGGAAGAACGGGTCCAAGTGCAGGTGTTAATGCAGACAGCTTCTGGAAAACTCGGCTGCTTTTAGGACCAGCCAAAGTGAGTAAGTTTAGGTCCCCGTGGTCCTGAGACAGTTTGGTTTACCCTGGGAGTCCATAACCACCTGTTATGCTTCCCCAGGTGAGGGACAGGTGAGCAGGGTGGAGCAAAAGCCACCCTGTTTTTCACAGGTTGCACATCTGATTATTTTAAGATTTTATTTATTTATTTATTTATTTTTGGAAGGGGGGAGTGGAAGGGAGGGAGAAAGAGAGGAAGACAAACACCGATCAGTTGCCTCCAGCTGAGGACCTGGCCCGTGAGCCAGGCACGTGCCCTGATCTGGAATCTAACTGGCAGCCTTTCAGTTCACGGGCTGGCACTCAATCCACTGGGCCACACCAGCCAGGGCTAATTATTTTAAAATATTGCTTTTAGTGCCCTGGCTGGTATGGCTCAGTGGATTGAGCACTGACCTTCGAACCAAAGGGTCACCAGTTCGATTCCTAGTCAGGGCACATGGGCTTTGGGCCAGGTCCCCAGTTGGGGTTGTGTGAGGCAACCGATCAATGTATC